CCTCAGATCGAATCGGGACGGGCGCTGGGCCTGCCCAAACCCAACTCAGGAACTTCCTGTCGGCACCGTAGGCAGGCCCCACTTTGCGATTCACAACCCCAAAGCTGGGTGTGTTTGCAGTTGGCTTCCCTTGAACAACAAACGTTTACTGCTTGCCCTTTGAGGCAACCAACAAGTTGATGGATGGTGTCCCTTTGATTTCCCTTGAAAACAACCCCGAAATTAGCAAAATTCCCGTTCGTTTGCCATAAGCAACCCCAAAAAACAACGCATCGCCCAATTCACGAGTGAGCTTCGGTGTGGCGCATTTGTGCCATGCGGCCTCCAAATGAGGGAAACCTCTCGATGGGCGTCCCTCAACGCCACCCCTCCAAAGGTACCGAGCCTCAAATCATGCCAGGCATATGCGAACCCAGGATTGGCGCAATCGCCACTCGTGATACCTGGCTCATTCCCAGTAGTCCGTTTTATCACGGGGATGTCCTTGATAACCGGAGTTGCCCGAGTTTTGATCCCCCGCCAAAAGCGACTCACAATCAAGTGGGCTAAAGTCGGAAAAACTACCACTAAACCAACCAAAAAGATCTGAAAGGCCAAGGAAGCGGATGGCTTCGCCACCAAGGTAAGTGGCAACGGAACCATCTGCGGCCTTCAGCTGGAAGGCCTCCGCGATGCGGTGGGCCAGGTCGGTACTGCCGCCTGAGCCCCGCTTGCTTCTCGCCCGTGTCCTAGGCTTGGTACCTTTTCGGGGCCAACGAGCAGCCCGCGGAAAACCACTTCTTGTTTTGGAGGGGTCCAATTTAACCCGGGAGACAATAGCATGAAACATGTCTATACAACTACTGTTTCGATTGAGCTTGGGTTGCTGTGTGTTTTGAGCTTCTTCAGGTGTTGTTAATGGTCGACTGAGTTTAGGGTCTTAGATTTTGCTGAGGGTCAACAGAGTTAAGAGTTTCTGGCTTTGTGAAGTGTCAACAGTGTTGGGGTTCAGGTTTCAAGTTGTTCGGGGAAAGGGTTTTGGGGTTTGCCCTGCACACATCTCTCGCTTCGGGACTGAGCCTTAAGCTTGTCCTTGACATCCCCTTGTGGCTCATCAGTATTGTCGCTGTTCAGAAACTGCGTGAATCTGCACTGTCGAATCTGTAGTATTTGTGTGAAACCGCCCGGCATCGTGGTGTCTACGCGTTGTTGTGAGTGCATGCAAAGCATTGCATATGTGGCATACGTTTACATGGAAGTTGATCCAAAGCTCCTTTCCATGGGATGACCTTTGGGGAGAACCACGAAAAACGTCTCCCACTAAAAGGGTAAGGTTCCCCATGGTCAAAACTGGGGGCCCATGGAATCTTGCTCAACGCCCGCAGCTCATTCCAAAGGCGAGCGGCAGCTGCGTGCGAAGCTCAGTCCCCCGGAGGCCACCAGCACCGCCTGGAGACAGCGGTGGCAGAGCCCCCGGCTCTGCGGTGAATCGAAGGCGTCCCATGTGACGGCCGGGGCGGGGGCTCCGGGGCGGGGGGGAGGCGGGGGGAGGGAGTCATTGAGTTCCGCCTCTAAGACCTTCGAAATGAGCCGAATCCGACCGAGGACATGGCACCAAGATGCAAACGAGTGGGTCTCCAAGCAGGACATGGCACGCCACAATATTTTGAGACCCTTTCTTGAGCCACGGCTCATACTCAGCAGGTGCCCGCGCACTGGCATTGTCTGTTTGCGAACGGGGAACCCCATTTTGGGGTGGCGTAAAGACGAATCACTGGTCAAGGATGGAGGGTGATCTTCTCGAGGATCTATGCTCTGCGCCATGGTCAAAACTCCCAAAGGGTGGGCCATAGTGGTTTCCCAGGAGCTCTTGCGGTTGTCTCCAAAAAAAAAGAGAGGGTGCGCACAGATGCCTATGTTCCACCCATCCAAATAAGGGTTGCCTATCAACTTGGTTGACGTTGGAAGGGGAGCAAAAACTTAAATTTTAGCAGTTAAGTGGGGATTTCAACCACTTGACCACAATAAGCAAAAATGCAAAATGTTTCCCAACAACAATCATGTCAACCTTCCATCATAGAGCCCGAGGTCGCAAACCGAGGAAACTTAGGCCTTCACACATGACAACGTGGCCCTGTCTCAGCGTTGATCAGAGCCCTTCTCAGATGGAGAAGCCAAAAGAGACCTGAAGAGCCAACAAGTGACGGCTCGACTCCTCACTTTGGTCTTTCAAGGACCCTGAGTAATGTGATCCCTCTTGATGCTCCTCTGGTTTGAAATGGAGGATTCCAAAGGCCTGCCATCGAACACTGCCTCCAGTCGCCTCTTGGGTTGCTGTTGTCTTTGAAGCAAACAATCCCAAACAGGGGTGAGGTGTCGCATGGTTTGCCTTTGAACACAGGGCCTGCTGTTTGCTTGGTGCTTGACTTTCAATGGAAACTGCCGCATTTGGATGGTGCATTGAAGGCGAAGCGAACATAAGGAAATGAGCCACAAGGATGGGCCCATTTCTCTTGTTTTACACCTTCCCCATGACCTATGGTTTCCCTTTCAGCATTTCAAGAAAACTCCATCATGGTAAAGTATTTAAACAACTCAAAGAGGAAACCCTCTCTCCACTCCTCGAACATCTACGGTTTTACCCCCAAAAAAAAAACAGGCCCCTCCTATCGCACATGCGCCCTCCCCCCAATTTCCCCCCCACCACCAACCCCGGCCTGGGCGCGCAACTCTTTGGCCTCGCCCGCCTGCCTGGACAAAAAAAAAAACAAAAGGTGCGTCTACGCCGTCAATACTTGGTTGACGTTGGAAGGGGAGCAAAACAATATTGCTTTAGCAGTTAAGTGGTTGGATTTCAAACACTAAACCACAATAAGAAAAAATGCAACATATTTCCCAACAACAACCGTGAATATGGGACTTGACCTCTTTTTGATGGTACCCTGTTTGGGGTTGTTTTGGGAACCAAAAGGGAAGCCACCTAGTTTGAGGGCTCAGAGCTATTTTGAGATAAACCCATAATCAGCTCAGTGCCACCACTTGTTGCAGTGGCTTGAAAGCACCAACCACAATGCAACATGAATGTTCCAGCTGTTGAAGCAACAGCAAAGGCTCCCAACCCTTCAGAAACTAGAACGTGCTGAGTAGGAGTGGGCTGGGCGTGAAATTTTGGTAGAAAGCCAGGTGACTGTTCCCTGTCATACTTCGGGACTGTTTCTTTCTTCAAGGTCAACATTGACTTTGTCAGCCCCTCTGCTATTCCCATCCCCCCATAGTTCGACCTGTCGAACTCGGAGTGGGAACCCGAGCCAAGGTTGGGAGGATGAGCCGGTGTGTGATTCTTCTCAGGGGTCCACATGCATTATACACCTGAACATTGCAACTTGTAAATGGTGGTGTCCCTTCATTTTGGTGTTGAAAAAGCAACATGTTTCAAATGGTTGCAAGATGTATCTTTTAAGGAGCCCTGCTTCTCGTGGGTGCTTTATTTGCGGCGTTGGTCTACGTCCGAGGAGGGCAGCCACTTCCGTGCCGGGACACCACTCCCATACAAGCCCTCACAAAGGACATGGGAAACTCAGTGAGCCCCTTGTCCCCCCATGTCCCGGCGAATGAGGAGTTCCGAGGTCCTCAAGTTGTTCTAATTCCGTCTGGGACGGGAGGTCAAGGTACCTCCCATCTTAGGCTCACTCGAGCTTACCCGAACATACGGCTCGCGGCTGAAAAACAGGTAGCTGGAAAAACGTGAGAAATGAGTCTCCAGGTGCCCGTGATGCTCAGAAGAATCTGGCTCCTGTACATCAGTACCTTCACGCCACCCCAAACCCCTGAGCACGGCACTCGTAGTCAACCCGATACTCCGGGCCCTCAGTTTCTCAGTGACCCGAAAGCTGGAAAATGGCAAACTGGCTGTTTGGGGGGCTTCCCCAAGGGGGAACCACAAATCAAAAAGAAAATAGGCGGCACTGAACAGGGACTCCAAAAAAGGATTTGCGACCTCTGCCTGCAGGCTCCTTTCTTGATGCCTTGCTGGTTTTCCTTCAAGGTGCCTCGTTTGAGAACCCCCTTTTTTAATCAGCATCAACTCAGGGGTGGTGAGATCCCAGAAAAAGGAACCCTGGATTTGAGTAGTGGGGGGTTGCTCAAAGTCTGGAAGCCTGAGTTCTTGAATCTGACAACTCTTACTGCTCGGCAAGTTGCGACAATTCACATGAAACAGGGAATGGTCTCTCAAAGGGTGTTTGATTTCACAAACCTTGGGGCGCTCCATAAAACTTTAAAACTAGTGCCCGCTCCGCAACAAAACTCCCTGTAAGATGTGGGTCTGAATTTCAATTAGGGAGCCTTTGGTGAACACCATGTCGGCGAAAATCCATGTCCACCAGCTCTGAAGGAGGAATTCCCAATTAAATTCATAGCCATGCATCTTGTCTAACCCCGGACACATTCTCGAAGCGCGTGGCTTCTGGGCTCTGGGTTCGTCCGGGGTCTCGGGTCGCCAAGCAAACTCCAAAGCCCGCGCCTCCCTGGTCACGCCGCAAACCTCCGCGCCGGTGCGCAGGTCCACTTTGGCGGCGAGACACTCCTGGCAGCTCCGCGAGTTACCTCAAAATCGGATGAACCCCGGATCCCTTGGGAAAAAAACAAGAAACTCTGCTGTAATTCTCCAGGGTCTGCGGTTGTTCCTGCTTGCAACTTTGAGAATCACCAGCCCCTCCATCCCAAACAAGGCTTTTGCAATCTCTACTTGCGGACCCTAAGTTCTGCAGGTATCTGCCAAATAGATCCCAACCTTTCGGAAGGAATTGGGGTTCAGGTGTTGCATCTCTGTGGGTCTAGTCTTCCGCCGTCAATCCACTTTCACAATACCATTCGAAAGTCTAAGGTTCCGACGACCCATGTTGGCACACCGTCCCCCACGGAATGCCCCAGGGAACACCGTCATGCCCTGTTCGGAAACTATGCTTAAAGAAACCACCGTGCAGAAGTCTACCATACGGCGTTGCCGCTCGTGCCCTTGTCGGTATTCCGTCACACTGCCAAACGTTGCTTGCCAGTAGAGTCTCGTGTAAGGCAATGCCACCCCACAGCGCATATGGATCACCAGCACCAAGGAGACAACCAAATCCAGATCCCCGTTGCAGAGGTTGGATTATGCATGTACGCACACACTCACCAACAAAGAACTCCAAAAAGACTATAGCTCTTCTGGAGATCGCTTGCTCTTGTCCCCACTCAGCCACGGGACCCTTTACCTCATCCGGGACCTCAGCCAAGCAAGTTCAGCATGCACCATGGGCAACAAAAGGGAAGTCAAGGCCTTGTCACCTAAGGACTGTGCGTGAGCTGGATTTTGCCCCTTCTGCAATTGTTTGAGAACACATCAAGTCCTGGCTGACGTTGGCTTCGTATTAAAGCCATTTTTTGCTAGGCCCTAGAGGCGTTCCTTGCAAATTTGGAGAGGGCTTCTACGACTTGTTTAAAGAAGGACATCGTTTGGATTTGAAAGTTTCATGAAATCCACGTGTTTCAAGCTATGAGCAGATTCTTTTCTGATCTTCTTGGCAGAGAAATACCGGAAAAGGACTGAGCATTTAGCAAGCTCCGTGGCGCGCACTTTGCTTGGCCAATGGACATTAGGCTCAAGGAGTAGCCAAGAAGTGCATGGGCCAAAATTTCCCCGGGACCGAATCGCTTGCCACACGCACGGTCCAACTCAGAACACAAGCGTCCATTGCCCAGAACCTTGGGATCTTGGGATCTGGAGCAAGCCCTGTCTCACGCAAGCGACATGTCTGGACCCAAGGGAAACCGTCATTTTCTGAAAGCTCGAAAGGTAATGTCGGAACAGAGCAACCTTGTACGCCACATACGACGTGCCAGTTGTTTCTTGAATGGAAGGCAGAAACCAAAACTGGTGCTGCGAAAGCTGTGAATAGACTGATAAGCATCCCCAACCGCATCCGCCAAAATCCATTCAGAGGAAACTTGCACCACCTTGAACAAAATGAACGCCAACTGCATAACAACTCCCAAGTCTCACCGGTTCTAGGCCCCAAATGCCCAAGACCGCATAAAAATTTAACGCCTTTGACCCCAAAGACCCCCAACCTCGACCTCCAAGTCGGTCACTTCCGAAGTCCTCCTGCAGCATGTCCACAATCTGCTGGGCAGACTTGTTGCAGAACAGCTGCCCCAACTTCTTCTCATGGTACCTCACACGCGGTTGCCACAGCCCTGAGACTTGTGAAGCCGAGCCGCCGAGGCCCGGGCACTTGAACATCGACCAACGAGGCCCTTTGACTAGGTCCTCCAGTAGAGAGGTTAGAATAAGGGTATGAACTTTTTTCTGTGGTCTATTTTGGTAGGGGAACCCTCCCCCCAAAAAGGGGTAAGAGGGGCAGCACTACTGGGGGACCTAGTTGTGTTCCTCCAATAGAGCAGTGGAATGCAGAAGCCGGGCAAGCACCGGAGATGCTGCTCTGACACGCGTTTTTTATGGTTGCCCGCCTTGCGTGCTGGCTTTTTGAAGGACGGGGACGGGGAGCCATTGGTAATGGAACCAAGGACTAAAATCTGCGGCTTTGTGGTGGTCTAATTTTGACCCATAGCCATTTCAGCATAGCACGCCTTGTTCTACGTGGGTTGCTTGCGGTCAATCGGGATGTCATGAGAAGTTGCTAGGATTGGCATTGTGGGAATTACTGTGACCAAGATGTGGAGTTTGGGCCCCACACATTTAGGATGGTGCCCTCAAGCCACGATATCAAACGATATCAAACGAAAGCACGGATTCGTGATCACAACGTGGGAGCCATTTGGGGATGACCATCTGGGTTCGCTAGACAGATTCTAGGGATCCGGCCGACCATGGCAATCCACAAAATTGGGAGCTGCAGGGGTGAGGTGGCTCGAACACGAAACGTCGAAGACATCGAAGCTCGCCAAAAGCGGCCACCCAGGTTCCGAAAGCGCAATCTCTCCCAAAAAAACACGCCCGGGGGGGGGGGGGGGCGGCGGGCCCAGTCTAGCCGCCCCTTGCCTTTGGAGGCCAACTCCAAAGGCAACGGACTTCCACACCGAGGCGGTCTCTTTGGATGTTCCACATTGAATAGCAAACTCGCGTCAGCTTCCCTCGGTGGCGAAATCTGCTCCCCAGCTAAAAAATGGTTTTACCTTTTTAGTGGTTTAATACGGTAAACCCATCAGCTGGCAAAAAGTGAAAGTCCGAACATCCCTTGACCAAAGCCACCAAAGTTCCTTCCAAATGGTTTGGATTCGAGTTCTTGTTTGCCCTCTACCGGAACCAGGGGCTCAAAAGCTTCAAGTGCCCAATCCAAACCACCAAGTGGGAGTTGCCTGATACTAGTTCCTTGAAAAAGAGCCGCAGGAGTCAACCTTTGGCAAGGATTTACCACCGATTCCACTTCTGTTGAACATGTCCCAATCCTCGACTTACCGTCTCTTACCTGAGCTTCTGACCTTCGCCTCAAGAACTCCCAAGGCCCAACAAGTACCAAGCCCTCAAAAAATGGCACCATTTTGGTTCCTTTGAACAAATAAATAAATGACTGAGTCCTGAAAAAATGGCACCTGTTCGGTGTCTAAAGCTAAAAAACACAAACAAACATGGTGATCATGGTGACTGAGTTGATATACGACACAGAAATCCAATCCTCAACCCAGGGCACTTGATTCCATGTGACTCCACCAGGCCGATGAACTTCTCGGGGGGATACCGGGCAAAGGCCTCGTTGGAGCGTCGGAGATCTGACACTCGGCTTTGTCTCGTCGGAATATATCTAGGTCCTCCAGTAGAGAGGTTAGAATAAGGGTATGAACTTTTTCTGTAGTCTACTTTAGCAGGGGAATCCTCCCCAAAACAAGGTGAAAGGGCACCACTGAAAAACCCAGATATGGCACTCCCACAAAAACGGATGGTCCTGGGTTTTTTGGGATAGACCACAACCAACGCTTTCCCTTGTTTCCCCTTGCTGCCCCGGATTCCTTTCAAGACGACCCCAAAACAGGCAACCCCCCGATGAAGTCGGCACCCAGGATTCATCGGAACAAACCCGCGATTTTGGTCAGGGTCCCTTCAACCGGCTCGTCAGTCCCCGTGACAAAATCGCCGCGGCCGGTGGACACGCCTTATCAAAACATCGGGAGGCTGTCGATCATCTCTAAAGCGGTGATTCAGTGATCCCTGATTGTTCATCAGGGGCTGGGTTGTTCATCTTGGACTCACCTTCAAACCATCAACTTGGTTGACGTTGGAAGGGGAGCAAAAAATAAGTTTTAGCTGTTCAGTGGGGATTTCCCACTAAACCACAATAAGCAAAAATGTAAAATGTTTCCCAACAACAACCATGTCAACATGTTTATTCCATCTGAGTTTCGGCTTTGGCTCAGCTTCCACCGCCCTTGGCTCTCTTGGCCCAGGTTCCCCACCTGGAAGTGGATTCGCCGAGAACTGCCCAAAACTTTTCGGGCACGGACATGGTCTTCCCCCCCCAAAAAAAAGAGGTGCAAAGTCACGCCTGAAAGCTCGGGTCCTATTTTCGTTGCACCTGGTCCATGTCCCATTCGACCGATCGAATGAGCCCGGCCTTCTCAAAGAAGGCAGCCTGGCAGCGCAGCTGCTAAGGATTCACCAAAAACAAGTAGGGAATAACTGTAGAGACGTAATTTGGGTGAAAATGCTCATCATTCAGCCCATGTTTGAAATGGTTGAATTGCCTTGACAGTCCTTTTGAACTTCAACACTACAAAAAAGATACCAACTCCGCAAAAGGACAACCGCAAAGCCGAGTTCTATGCAAATCAGGCAAATACGAAGCCTTGTGTTTGAGTATAGTAGCCTTTTTGCACCCCTGTTTTTAGTCACCAGGGTTCAAAAAAGTGCAACCCAACTCGGTTGCTCTCACTGACCTACGAATCGTCCATCGTTTTTGCTCGCACCACGTAACAAATGAACAAGATTTAACAGTCATGTCCATTCCATTTGAAACACATCACCTTAACCAGAGTGTAGAAGAGTGCAACTTTCTTCTAGCTAGTCGGGAAATGCCAAGTAAATGTCAGTTGTAGGGGACATAGCACATCACTCGACCCATTGCAGGAGACAGAACACATCACCTAAAGCAAACGGAAGCCAATCCGAGCTTCCATAATCGAACTATTCAAAGCAACTTCAGACGGGGGGAGCTGATTTTCCCGATTGTGCTCAAACAGCCCAGTTCTCGTGGACTTGTTGGACGCATCTGCAAGCAATCCAGGGTGGTCTTGCTAGGCCTACAAATGTAAACGGCCTCCCAGATTCAGCGGGTTTATATGAGCGGGCGGAATTGTTTGGAGGGTATTTTGGAGGTCGGGTCAAAGGGAAACCGAAGGCAAACTCCCATTCTGAAAGCTCTCCGTAGCAACAAAGCTGTTTGGAACATTCGAATCGGTGGTCCGTGTTGAATTTCATGGTTGAAGGAAAACCGCCACAAAACCTACCCATGTCGCTATGTTTGGGACAAATCCATACTTTGGAGTGGAACTCCCTCCGGGAGTTTCCCTTCTGCTCATCACACGTCCCTTGCAAAGATGAGATGAGCCGGCTGGTGCGAACTTGCGATGACATCTCCTCAACTTAGCGCTGACCCCATATTAACCAACCCCAATTCATTCATAGGCGGGGTGGTTTTGGCCCCGGAGAAAAAAAAAAAAAAAAACGTGGTCGGATTTCCCGCTGAACCTGGGACACCCTACTGATAAACTGGGGTGGATTCATATGGGTCAACATTACGAGCCCTCCCAACTCCACGGTCTCGTCTTTACGAACGGAGTGCCGTGCATTTCACCTCCCCGGAGTCCATCAGGTGAGGTGATATGCTTAAAAGGCACGAGGAAAGAGTTCTAGAACTAAAGAGTTCTACGGCTTTCCACTTCAGAAAGTAAGTGAAGGGCTGCAAAGGGAACCCTGGACAATTTCGGCAAGATGCCAGATCCCCCCCCTCCCCGAGCCCCCCGATATCCTCCCCTTGGTGTTTCCCAAACAAGCTCTGATAAGGCCTTAAGGTCTCTCTCATAGGGGAAAACCAGGGAGCGGGCTGTCGGAATCGCACACCTCATTTGAAGAGCTGCGCGAGGAGTGGTACGCCACATCCAACGTATCCTGCCGGAGCTGCCGAAGAGCTCTGCTGTTGGTCAACTGGGAGACTCCGGCCGAACCCCTAGCCCTCCCTAACATTTAAGGTCTCGTTTGATCTTTTGGCCTGAAGGCATGCCGAGACGGGGGCTCTTTTGCAGAAACCAATGCTGTGAGTGGCGGCTGTCTTGGGGGGTCCCCTCATGTGCATGTGCTTGAGCAATCTTAAAGGGCATCTCATTTCCAAAGCAACGCAATGCCCGAAAGGCCTCTCATTTGCAGAATCCAAAGAACCTCGAACAAAACAAAAAACAAAACAAAAAACAACAAGTCCTGAGAGGAATGTGTTGGAAGTGCCCAATACCTTGTCTGTTTTGTGTTTTTTGCTTTTTCTTGTGTGTTTTCCCCTCGCGGTGTTTTTGTGTTTCTCATTTGGCCATTCTCCTAGTAGATCTCTCCCAAAAGCTTGTCTCATGCTGCTAAGAAATTCCTGCTGCGTTCCTTTTGCACTCGATGCGCACTCGGCAACTCAGTCGAAGACATCAACTTGCTGCTCACTGGGAGCTGTGCAACAGTGTGAAGGCACTCGCAACCAACAGCAAGATGTGTAAGAACTGGCAAAAGAGCAAAAACTCAGCTTCTTGGCAGAGGCAGGGTGTTTGTAGGCAGAAAATGCAACCCAGAAATCAGAGGAAATTGCAAACTATATGTGGACTTGTACTTTCGGCAGGGTGGTATATCTCTGTGCTCGTAGGGACCGAGCACGTGCTCTCATCATTTTTCAAGCTGTGCGGCATTTCTCCGAAAAGCCAACGCATTTGCTATTCTAAAACCAAGCTCCAAAGGCGCCAGCCACTCTAGGGAGCCTAGCTGGAAGGCAACCAAGACAAGCGAAACAGGTTGAGAATGCATTTGAAACGCGCAAAAGACAGCGCGATGGGATGGAAGGAACCAAAAAAAACAGCCTGTAATTTGCTCGTTTCCCATCACGCAAAACTCGTCTTGCGCGTAATTTGCCCCCCCTCAGGGCATTGTCCTCTCTTCTTCGGGGGGTTAGGGTCCTGACCAACACCTGGAGGCTCCAGAACATCTTGGCCAGACTGGCCAAACAACAATGAAAACATTTCGAAAGCCAGCTTCACGTAAATCAACATCCTCATATATGGGTGTGGCTCAAAATTAAACAGGAGGGGCTTTTTCCGCAGTTGGTCCATGTTTCCACTTACCAGGGCACCCCATTTTGGAATTCCGGTTTTTTGAGCCACAGCCATATTTGGAAAACCTCAAACCAACGAGCCTCCGGTCCAATAAGAGTCCATATTGTCCACGGGACTCCGCAAAATCGGTGGTTTCCCCGGCATTGAAACTATGTGATAAACCACCGATTCTCATCTCACACGTGTCCCTTTGAAGCAACGCAACAACTATCACTAGACACACCTGTTGCCGTAACCTGGACCGAACTCATCTTACAGGCGTTGTTGTCCCCCTAAGCTTCCCTGCCCCACGCCCCCCAACCAGGCGTGCGGTTTGTGGAGCGGAGACTCGGGCTGTGCCCAGGAACTCGCCGGTTTTTGTTGCCCGGGAAACCACAGGGCGAGGGGCACCTTGCTGTCCACTGATGGAACCGGCCATGGTTCTTGTTGGGAAACATTTTGCTTATTATTGCTTATTGTTGAGGGGAGGGGAGTGCTGAATTGGAGTTCTGCTTGGCGAATCATAGGAGATCCGCATGACTTTGTGTGAGAGCACACCAAAACCCAAAACTCATCCGTCAGGTTGGGTAATTCGGAGTCTTCGGAGTCACATCCTCGAGCAAACCGAAGATCAGCACCCATTCTTCGAGGTTCCCTCTTCAACTGGCCGGCTCCGCAGCGGAAAAGGAAACCAGCTGCGGTGCAGCTGTGGCCTTTTGTTTGGCCCGGATGACCTGCAAAAAAGAAAGAACAAGCGGAAATAAGAAATGGGCACCCAAGAAAAGGTTCATAGTGAGGTCGCATACCTCCTGCCACGAAAAAGGGGGAACAAGGGGCGGCCTTTTTCAGGTTGAATTTGAAAGGAACCCTCCCTTCAAGAGCCTCATCTCAGATATTAACCCCAAGGCACTCCTTCAGTCAAAGCTCAACGGGAGCCAAAATCCACATCCATCCACCCCCGGTGGCCAATCCCCGCATTTTCCGCTCCGAGATGTTGGTGAAGTTGCACCGTCCGCCCCCGCTGATCCTGGAACGATGCCATACACTCTTCAAATTTACACAAACACCCGCGAAAAAAAAAATAATCATCATCATGAACTTGGAGAAAGAACATCGTTTTTGCTGGGGGGAGGTCTTCTAGATTCCTGTGTCAATTTGCGGACTATGCAAGTCTGCAGGGGCGACGTCAACCGATTGGGGTCTTAACGACCCTGTCTTGCTGCTTGCTACAATCCCTGAATCAGTGTCAATCTGCCAGAAAGGGTCGTCGTGGTGCCTGCAAAATTTCAAGCCGGCCAACGTCCTTGAGTTTTCCAAAAACACAAACTAAAACCAAAGTTGCAGGCCCTAATGTTGACCCCGGATTAATAAACCCCTGTTTATTAATATGGGGGTGTTCCCCTCCAAAAGTGGTAAATCCCCACTAAAACCGGGGACACCCCCATATTAATAAACAGGGGTTTATTAATCCGGGGTCAACATTAGCAGAAAACCTCAAGTCCCAAAAACAAATGCCATGGCTCCAAATCCTGGGCTGTGCCCATAGTTGTAATTGAAAAAAGGCCACGACCCACATGGACGTTGCTCAACTAGAATGTCTGCCTGAACTCCGAAAAGAAGCATCAATGTTGACGAAAGACGGAGTCATTAAGACTAAATGTGTTAAATAAGGAACAATTGGTTTAGTTTGCCTTTACCTGTAATAGAACTGAGACTGCATGTTTCTTGAATTCGACTGGTGTTTCGTTATTTTTAAGAGGCAGGCTGATTGGCAAAAACAACAAGACTCTCGTTCTTTATTGAACTCCATGTTAAGTACCAGTATCTAGTCAAGCTTATTTTAAAACCATATTTGGCAAGGAATTCCGATGTAAACATTTTGCTTAAGATAAACAAACATATACTTGAATTGTGTCCTTTTTAATGTGTATTTGGATTCTGATCAAATGTTCAAATTCCTTTGGAAGGAATTCCTAGCCAGATTCTAACTTAAGATGGGATTTCCAATTGAATATGTCCTTTTTATTGGACCCCATGTCAATTCTAATTGGATATCAATTGAACACATAGTTCGAAAGGAGCATGTAAGGCCCCACTCCGACGCACTCTCAAATCTGATTGCCCCTCGTCCAGGAATCCACGACAACTGGGGAATACACAATATGCAACATATGACCAGCAACAAGCTAATGTGGGAGTCTAGTCGCAGCCCCACCTCCGATGGATTTTGTCAGTGTTTTCTCCTGTGCCATTCAATTGGACCGCTCGTCAATGTTCTCCTCATGTGAATAATATAGGCGATCTGCCACTATGGAACGTGGACCTTCCATAATTCCATCATCACGCGTCGCACTGATTCGCTGCATCAAGAGAGTACCATCCAACCCCCCACCCCGATAAAGTAGGGAAACATGATTGCTCAAGCGGGGCATCTGACATCCCGGCATCTGTCAAGAGCGTTTTTCTTTCGCCCCCACGCCGCCCGCACCCCTACACTCCCCCCAAAGCCCCACCCCCCGTGCAAAGAAAGCCCACTGCTTGTTGCTGGCAGAAAGCCCTTGGTTGAGGTTCAAGGTCCAGCACAAAGTTCAGCTCTTGAACGGCACACAAAAATCGGTGGCCAAGTTAAGACCTCCTGGCGAGGACCGGCTGAAGATATGAAGCCATGGCTTGTGGCTTAATTGGAAACTGGCCATTTTGGGGGGCCATTCATACAACCCATGTTTTATCGGACCCTCTCTCATTCTAGCAATTGGTCTGGGTTCAAAAATATAGGTTCTGTTGGGTGGCCGAAACAAATGGCTCGAAAAAGAAACGGACAAAGCCACCAAGGCCCAAAAGTTTGTCTCCGTCACTTCTCCACCCCAGTCACAACGAAGGTGACACCTTTCCCAAATCGAAAGGTATTGTTTAAACCATCCAAAAGATTGGTAGCTCGGTGTTCTGTTTGTTGCTCGGTACGGTACCGCTTTGTCGGGAGTCTTTTTGAGGGAAGCCAAGTGGACATGCGTGAATCCCTACCTAAGAGATGTCCAAAGGGTCCACCAATGTAGTCTGGGGACGAAGAAACGCCTGATGAATAATCAGGGGGCAACTCATTTTAAAGATCCGGATCAGCTTTAGGGTGGAACACACCCTTTGAATCCACATTCATGATGTCATTGTAGCGACAGGAATACCCTCACAAATGGTTGGTGGACCAACATGTCCACCTAAATGATGCCCAACGAAGCTATCAATCAGCTTCCCTCTGATTGGTGGTTTGGATTGGTGGTTTGGGGAGGTGAACCCCACTTCCATTTAAGCCAAATGGGGGAAGTACCCCCTAGCCTCCAAGAATACTTGAATCAATGCTGGGATTAAAAAACCGTCTGGTTGAGGAATGACTAGGCGGGTGTCCCATTTTGAGGGAAATCCCGGCATACACGCCGCTATCAATCTGCGATGCTGAAACCGGGGTCAACATTACAGGGCGGCGCGAACCTCAAAACAATGACCGAACTGAAAGGCCTGGCGCTTGGTCTTGGGCCCTTCGTCGACTTGGGGATCAAATTCTGCCAAACAAACTTCTGACCTGGGTCAGCCTTTTCAGGTTGGTCTCAAGGCCAGCCAAACGGACCGCCATTTGGCGTCCCGGTCTCGGTCAAGTTGTTTCCCTCGGCTGCAGGGTGCCACGAGATCTTCCGCCGGCCTTATCTTCTTCCCCAGCTCCGGGTTCTTCTCCAGTAGCGTGACCTTGCGGCCCCGCCGGCCTGGTCGGCGGGGGAGAAGGGGGGGGGGCAGAGAGAAAACAAAACTTGAGATCAAATACGAGGGCCCTTACGAAACAACAAGGAAAACAATGTTTGAAGGGTCTGAGATTGCGGCAAAGAGGATGACGAAACCATTGCATAAGAAAGTTGCGAGTAACCACGACAATGGAAGGCAAGTTAAACCACGACAAAACTGTTGCTTCTTCATCCGATGTCATGATTTAGCTAAGTTGTTTTTGCTTCGTTTTTTGTTGGACCCCACATTGTGAGACATTCGCACATTGCACACTGCTCTCCAGATTTACGAAGAAGGGTAAGGTGCACATCCGGCATCTGGAAACTCACGGTGCAGGCGTGGCTCATGCTGTGAGTCCAACCAATGCGCTTGGATATGTTCTAAAATGGGGCTCCCGAGTTGGACGGCCAGGTGAGCCAACTTTTTGGCTTCGAAGGAAGCCAAACAGAAACAAACTGATGTCCCCTAGCTGAGTTCAACAATGTCCATTGTCTGGCCAATCCGAGTGTCCAAAGACCAAATGCTGGCTTCAAAGAGATCTTGAAATTCGGAGACCCTTTCAGTGGGTAACAAATTGGGCTCGATCGAATGCCACAAAATCAAATATGGTCCTGTTGGTGCACGCCGTCCAGAACCCACTTCGCCGCTTGCCTGTGAAAGAAGGCTCTTCTGAACCGACCTCATGGTCCAACCCTACCTGCGCTTGGAGGGGCAGCCAGATCGATCGCGGGGAACCAGGGATGATGTAATCTTTGAATCCCAACCCGTCAAAACGTCCCCTTGGCAACTCTCTCTAAGCAAAACCAAGAACTGCGTTCCCCAGGTGTGAAAGGGAACTCACCAACCATTGAAAGCAGATCGAATCATCCCAAAGCTTGGGAAGCAGAGCTGGATCCCTTTCTGGCCGCAGGGTCGGCATTTGGCCGCTAAGGCGCCCTTACCTGTCTGCCATCCGACAGACAGGATGGTCCTTGGGTTCTAGTATTGGCGCAGTCCGCTGTTTTTCTCACCACGGACGGTCAGAACGTGCATCCTCAAAGGTCTGTGCACTGTACAGTGTGGAGAGGATTGAAAGGCGCATGATTCCCCGTCTGTACACAAAGCGAACCACATCCAAAACTTAGACCGGATCAAAGCAGTGCTCTTATGCAAACAGTCAAGTGAACAGGGCTCACCCCTGCCCAAATCGTTTTGATTCGCTGGAAAAACGGGTTCCTCATCTTCAGCTTCAAGAAAACCAACTTGAAGCTGACCATTTGTGAGCACTTCTGTATCTCATCCTCGCCTTCTCCGATCCGGGCATGAGATGTCGCCCTATGGGACACAAGCCAAAGTGCTCGGCCTCCTGGGTTGGGCAGATGTTTCAAGCAACGCTGGCCTGTACGCCTCCCTGGGGAAACCAGCTCCAAGTTGTTCAAGCACTACCCCAGTGCTTGAAAAAACAGGTCACCAGCGGAAACCAGCAATTGAAAACGAAATACAAACCCACCGTTACCTACCAGAGGTAACCTCACGGAGTCGTGTCTTCGCATCCTTACGCATTTTCTTCTAGCTTGGCCTTTGACTTCGAGGAGTAAAAAGCACCCGCTTCCACAACGAGTTCGCGCCGAAGCCATCGCCCAACCCTCGAGAATCCTTCAGAAGTGACTGCCGCAGGCCCTGCAGAAGGCCGAAACACCACGGGAACTTGCGTTGTTGTTGTTCGCATATTTTCTGTTGAAAGCAAACAAGGGTTTAGTTTCTTTCTTAAAGTTGCAATTTGTGTTTGTTGCGTTTTCTTTTCGTTTTTGTTTAAAGCTGAAAAGCCCGATACTGAGGATCTTGTTCTTGTTTTGCCAAGCCGAGCTGAGATCCGGGCCGTTTACGCCCAGGCCGTCATGTTTGCGAGCCTCTCCTGAGCTGAAAGCCCAAAGAGAGAGCTGAAGCCAAACTTGGCAACTTCTGCTCAATCGGACACCCACCCAAACAGAAACCCCTGAAGTGGGGTGTGCGTTGGTAAGAGACCGACGAAAGCCACAAGAGACCCTTCATGTCCCAGCGTAAAAAGGGAGGTCGCCCATGAAAAAGCCAAAGGTTTTTCCACAAACCGAGAAGAGCAAACACGGACAAGTACCTGGCTCTTGCAAGGGGCACGCGAGCCTTGGGGATACTTTTTAAACGGGGATAAACAGCCGCAAGCTACGATGCCCAGCAGATCCTGTGTTGACTTTCCGGAGCACCCGAGGTGTGGTGCAAAACAGAACACGGACCCTTTGAATGGGCGTAGGAGTTTCCAGCTGCCGATGAAAAGTCCTCCAGGCGCGAAAGAGCTTGAATTGGGAGAGCCTTTCATTGGGTTCGCACACGGGAAGCTACACATTGTCCTCTGGCTGAAATTGGTCGGCGATATGTTGCCAAAGTGCTTAAGCTTGTCCAGCCCTTCCTATAGATTCCTAGCCAAAAAGCAACTAGACAATTCGTCCGCCATTCGCAATGGTCTGAACCCTTCCAATGGTTCTGCGGCTGCCAACATCTGAAAAGAGAAATGCCCCCGAGCAAGGAACCTGAATCATAGTGACCTGTCACGATTCTAGACATGTACCCCAGACCGCTGTCCCAAGACATTGCCACCAACTTTGTCTTTCACATGGGACCGGTGAGTGGGGGGCCAGCCCAAAAAGAACCAGACCCATTCGACGGTATCTAAGAAATCACATTCATACATGCGCGCTCGACCCTTGCGCGCTCGATTTTTGGAAATAAACGGTGTTCACTTGCTTGAGCTCCCTCGCAACTGCTGGATTTGGAGTGCTCTCCTCTCCAAATGTCGCGCTCTTTGCCTACGGTCTCAATGGGGTGGGGGGGGGGGTTCAGCACCCATTCCGCTTCTGGCTTGGCAAATCCCAGACCTCCAGAACCTTGGTCGACGTTGGAAGGGGAGGAAAAAATTAAGTTTTAGCAGTTAAGTGGTTGGACTTCAAGCACTAAACCACAATAAGCAAAAATGTGTCAAATATTTCCCGACAACAACCATTAGAAGAACCCCAGACTTTAAGGCTTTCTTACATGCAAAAAAACTGGGCTTCAAGGCCACCCAAAAATGCCGTTGAACGCAGCTAGCCGGGGCGAGGGTCCGCGTACGCAGACTTCTTCTGCAGCTTCTGCTTCTGGACCTCCAGGAGCTGCTCTCCTGACAGCCCAAAGGCGCAGGCGAGTCATAGATGAAAACCTGGGTGCGGTAAATCCAAGGTAAAAGGAAACATGAGGACAAAACATGCTAATAACTCAGCGAGCTTACTTTTGAAAACTCAGCGAAAGGGTAATATAAAGGCAACAGCGGAAAGTTTAGTTCAAAGGAGCTATGAGAAAAAAATATCCCAGCAAAAAGTTAGACTTTTTGCTGGTTAAAAGGAAATGTGAGGGGAATCCAAAAAAAGTGAAAGTGTAAAGATCCAACCCAATAGCAGTAGAGAAAACCCGGCAATAAAATGGTCGATCCCCAGAGCCATGCTTCAAGAACAAAGATGGCGGATCTCTGCAGCTAGTTATGGCAAGGGGATGGTCCTCTACTCACCTTCATCAATCCCCGGGTTTTGATTGTGGCTCAAGTGAGGGCAACCACAAGCAAGCAGAACAGAGCGACCAACTAGGCATGGTTTGTGCAAGCAAACAGAACAGACGGCCATGTAAAACTCGGGTTCGACATAGAAAGGAGACCCGAAATTCAACCATTTCTTCAAAAACTGTGTCACTCTGCAACCAGCGTTTCTGGCGAAAGAAATCAGGAGACCCGAAATAGAACCATCCCTTCTGCACTTAGTTGCAACCAGCACTGCTGGCGAAAGAAAGGGAACGGAAAGGAACCGGAGTGTGCCCATCCTTGATGCTGAACCCGCCAAACAAGGGACTGAACAACCTGCAAAGGAAACAAAGGACTTCGGCTGGCGGAAGCATGAAGGAAAGCTCATCTAACTAAAGAATAGCTGATCTCTCTTGCCAGCCCATCCTCTCCAAGATCAACTACCACCAGAATTCAGCAAAGTGGGATCATACCCATGTTGGAGTAGAACGCTCCGGACGAAACAGGGCATGTTCCCCTTAATGAACTAATCCAGTTTGGGGGTGTCTTCTTGCCACGGTTGGGCTAAGTTTGGAGGAATCAACTCCAGCCTTTTATTGGAGGGCAAACATTTGTTCCCATAAGGTAGCCTAGAAAAGGACAGTCCTGGCCCGTCATCACTTGGTTTCCAGGGAGAATCCGAGACACGTGCACCACGCAAAAGTGATGCACTTTGAAGCCCACCCGGGAAAATCCGAGACACGTTCACCATTCTTCCTTTCAGCACCAAACATGGGGAGAAAATAAATAAGTAACAATAAACGAATACATCAACAAAAAATGTGAGATTCCCTTTTTTACCAAACATGGACACTGCCAAATACTCACCTGCAGCAACTGCAAGCGCCCGGCCATGGGGAAAAAAAACAAACCGCCGCCCACCGCCCCGAGGACACCTTCCCGGCGGAACCCGTCTCCTGCAGCCTCGCGGGACTCCAGGGCCTCAATCTCCCGCAGCGCCTGGATGCCGAGACCAAGGGGCTTCATTGCCTAGAAAAATCATCGGAACATCTGGACATGGGGGATGCGGACGGCACGGAGCGGGCCACACCACCGGAGGAGGCGCAGACGCCACCCACGAAGAGACTGAAGGGCTTTGTGGCGGCTTCTCAGAAGGCTACGTCTCAGGCCAACAAACCTGTCACCTTGGTGCCGGTGGACGGAAAACCTGGGTACTTCAAGCTGGTGGACCTCCCGGACTTGTTTCCAGTCCTTCCAGCGTCGGCGGCCACCTTGCTGAGAGACATCACGGTGGAGGAGGCGGTCTCCCTGTTTTACAAGTTTGTTGGGAAGAACCTCACGGAGGACCTGGTGATCCGCATCTTGGAGGCGTACGTCCCGATGAAGATCCAGCTCCGCCAGGAGGAGGTCTGGGCTTCGCAGTTC